TTATGTATTCATTATTTATCTTGTATTTTTGTAATCAAAACATGATAGACTACACCTTTTAGTTGTTTAAATTTTGATGGAACATTGTTAATTCTTTAATCCAATAAATTGTTCATTTAAATTTTTGCTAATTTATTGGTTGTTATTGAATTAATTTTCATCCTATTATTTGGTCATTTTTAAAATTTATTTTTGGAATATCAAGTTTCTAGCACAAATAACAAACAACATTAGGTCCTACAGAAGATAGAGATATTTCTATTATTTAGCGTATGAAAATACATTTCGGACATACGTAAAATAATGTCAATTGTCAAGTTTATGAAGCTTTTGTGGTATTTTAAACACAATTATTTTGCGCATAGTATTTTTTAAGATTGTTTTTTGTTTTAATTAAAAGCTGAGGTCCAAAAGGAGTAAGCAGAAAAGGCCCAAAATTGCCAAGTCCAAGATGTTCAATAGAGGAAATTCGCCAGCAAGTTACTATACTCTCCTTTCTGGCTGTGAGGGATTCAAGCTTGCGAAATGTGTTTTATTTTTCCGTAAACAGGCTTTAGACACAAGATCGAGTCTATACGGAAAGGATAGTCAAAAAAGTCTACACGAGATGTGAGCAGTTGGTAGAATAAGAGAGAGACTTTGTTAGTCCAAGTCTTTTGCTTAAAAAAAAAACTATCGCGCTTTGTGTAAGGTTTGGTTTTTGGGGCATGACTTTTGGTAGGGATGTCAAATTGATGGACGGCTAAGAGATGGGGCTACAATACATTAGTTGACAAGTTTTCTCGACGTAATTTCCATCATGGAGTAAATTGTGACAAGATTTGGGGTCCCAAAAGGGTGTTTTTAGTCAAATCAGACTTCCTGAAATCCTTTAACAAGAGGGGGTAGTTAACCATTAATTCCAGCCCATTTCTCAAGAAATTTCAGCAGCAACTTACCAAATTAACTGCCTTTGAACACCCCATAATCGGCCACAGAGCAGCTGAATTCATGCCAAATCTGATTTACTGGTCCACCTTTCATGGTTCAGACCTACTAGAAGAGTCAGCAGAGTTAGCATTAATCTGAATGCAGGCAACAACCGATATATTTGATTATCTAGAGCTTACCCATGGTGACGTGATCCTGGGAAGGGGAATCGCGTGGAACTGGCGAAATTAGTCGAAAACGTCGGGATAGTCCAAATTCAGGTTATAGACGGTAGAATCTTGACCCGAGCCTCACGAATCAAGAACCTAAGGTATATTAAACCTTAGACCCGTTGATATGCGGAAACAAGAACCTCGATTTGCGAACTTCACAAATGGTGCTTAATCATTTGATAAGTTCTAAGATTTTGAAAGCCACAAATATTGAAAAGATTTGAGAAGCTCGAAAGTTCAATCAAGAACCAATGGAGAGTGAAACCTCAATTATGATATTAATCACCAAATAATATATATTTACAATGAGTAATATGAGAACTATTTATAAGAAACTATAAAAACACTAGTCTACACGAAATTGATGCTAAAAGATTACATAAGATATCCGTCCAAATTAAAATTCTAATTAAAGAAGGAAACTCGCGCAAAAGAAAATCTGTGTCTTTTATGTATTGTCTGTCCCGGATCATATCACATGGTCCACCTTTCGTGGTTCAGGGCTCGCTAGGAAATTCTCTGCCGAGTCAAAACATTATGTTCCAGCATTTTCTTTATCTTCATCCATGTCATCTTCTTCATCACACCTCTTGAGGCTTTTTCCTTCCTTTTATCTTTAAATATTTATGTTTTTTGTGGCTATGATTTTGGGTTTTACAGACCCAACTTTGTTACTTCATAAATATTTTGTAAGGAGACCCATGCCTTTTTTGCAACGTTGCAATTAGAAATCAAATAAATAATGTTATTATCAACAACATTACAATATTGCATATAAACAAAAACCATATTTGTGTACCAATTGATTTGAGAAAAAAAAAATTCATTAGAATTTTTCAATGTTTGTAGTGGTACTTCTTTCTTCAAAAATTCTTATAAAATTTTTGTTTCGTATGATCTCACTTATAAGAAAGTGAACCCGTTCAGATACCAGTTATAAAATTAAAACCTAGGTAATTATTGATTAATTAATTAATATTCAAAATTAATTATCATATGATATTTCAGCATAATTGGTTCTAACTATCTAAAAAATTATCCAACTATCGATTAACTAATCTTGCAGTTCTCATCTACTCTTATAGTTCACCAGCAAGTTCTAACTATTTCGCGACCTACAAAATTTCTTGATTCGCTAATACAGTAATAATATATTACGGTGAAAAGATTAAGTTAAGTACGAGCACGCAATGCAACGTGGTAACCGAATTTCATGATTTGAGGGTTTACATTTGGGGATCACAACCTGCGGAATTTTATGGGTTTTGTTTGTATCGTGTCCGTGTCCTTGCAAGGTATACCTATATGTATGTGGAGGTTGTGAATATTTATAGCTACATGTTGAATAAATGATACAGGAAAACTACAAAAGAGAAGGAAATGAACGAATTGGTGAGATCGCAAAACAGTTTCCAAGTAATAAAGAGAGTGAAGAAAAACTATTTTAATCATGAAGAAAACTGGAAAACACGAAAAGATGAGCTTACAGTAGGTCATTAATTAAGTCCGATACGGTCTAATCTGCCTTATCTAACATGTAATTTAGAGCTTGTACAATATTATTGGTGCACCATATTGAGGTTGGAGGGTTATTATAGTATGTGGAGCATGTGTATAAGAAGGTGAGAGCTCAAATGAAAAATGCTGCAATATCATCGCCAGAGCCAGTTTTGCTTCCATCTGAGCAAAGCTTTGGCCTAAACAGATTCTTGGACCCCAACCAAATGGATAAAATGCCAATTGCTCTCTTGATGCCTTGGAAATTCCTTCAGAAAATCTCTCTGGATTGAATTCCTCAACATCTTCACCCCAATATTCGGGGTCGTGATGAAGAAGAAGAGTTGGTAAAACTACTTCAACCCCGGCAGGGATAAGCATTCCACCCAAGTCTGTCGTTTGGACCGCGTATCGAGTGAGACCGGTCACGGGCGGGTATAATCGGAAGACTTCTTGGAGCACCATTGAAACCTGCAAGCAAGATTTCATAATCAGATCAATGGCTTGTCCACCTGATGTGCACAGAACAGCTTTTAAAGCAACTTTTATTTAACTCTCGAAATAAGCAATTTTAAGCTTGGCCTTTTTTATGCCTCGACTGAGTGACAACAAGGGGACGTCAAGCCCCTGCGTAGGATTTGGATAGACGCCGGAAGTGTGCTATCAGGTTAAGTACTTAAACATAAGGAAGAAAAAATAAATTTAATTCATACTTACAATTCTGAGTTGGTTTATATCTTTGAGATCAGGTGTTTTCTTCCCACATATCTGAAGAACCTCTTGTCTGGCTTTTTCTTGCCAATCTGGATGCATTGACAAGACAATGATGGTCCAAGTAAGCCAATTAGCAGTTGTCTCTTGCCCAGCAAAATAGAACAATTTGCATTCTTCTATTACATCCTCAATTTTCATGTCATTATTTGTATGACTTTTACATTGCAATAGCAAACTTAGCAAATCGCCGTTTTTCGATTCTCCCTTTTGCATTGCCCTCTCTTTTCTTTGGATCATTTCTTTCAACATTGCCTTGATTTTGTTGTCGATTTCATATCTCCTTCTGTTCTTCTTTGTGGGTAAAAATCTGCACCAAGAAATAAATATTGTTCATGGATGGATCGAAATATAGCAAAAACTTTGACTGTTACCTTATCGTCAAAATAAGTTACTCATTTCGACTTTAATCAATAACAAATATTTTTTTCACGAGTAACCTTTTAGCCAAACCACTATGAATTCTTGGCCAAGTTTGGAAAATGCATTCACCTGTAACCGGGGAGATATATAGACATAAAGGCTTCAAGAACGAGCCCAGCTTGTTCCTTTTGAAGTTCAAATATCGTTTTTCCATCTTCAAAGCTGCTTCCAAATGCTGCTCGAGAAATAACATCCGCTGCAAGATTTTGCATTTCTTGAGCAACGTCGAGTTCAGATGATCCTTTCGAACCAACCAAATTCTTCCATTGATCAATCAAGTTACAGAAGCTGGTTAAAAATGCTGGCAACATTTCCTGTTAGTGTAGTACATTGATCATTAGGACATCGACTCATAAATGGTTCAAGTGGGACGACAAACAAGATTTTAGCTTTTTTTTTAGTTTTTGTTTATATCTAGTACTGTCGAGTCAAATGCACCGCATATCTATCAAGAGAATTACCTGTAATTTCTCGTGGTGAAATGCTGGAGTGATTAGTTTTCTGCGCTTGGCCCATTTTTCCCCTTCCAAGGTGTTAACACCTAATGTTAGAAGATTAACCAAAGGGTTCGCCGGTGGCTTTTGGAAGTGACCATTTTTATCATTTAGTATCAATCTCGTTAGCTCAGGGTCTGCTATAATCAGCCTTGGTCTTCTTTGAAGCCAAGTCAGAGATATTTTTCCTATTTATAATATAACATAATCAGTTGGAATGTCTAAAGCAAAATGGAAATAAATTTTGATTCATTCTCAAAGGCATTCATAGCAACTTTTTATATACTGGACAGAACTAAACATGTCGAATGTTTAACCATTGCCGTGTAATCTAGTCCAATCAAGCATACCTATCCCCGTGTCTTGGACCAATCTAGGCCGTCTAGAAAGGCCGTCTGTGTCGAGTCTTTAGGGGGTTGTGAAGAGAAGAAGGCTTACCATACTTGTGAAACATTTGGTGCCACAAAGGGTTAACGCGGTGTACAATGGCATGGTTTAAGGGCATGGGCTTGGACCAAGCTTCAGCTATGAGTTTCTTAGTCTCCTTCATGTCTCCATACATAAGTGTGTAAGAATTGCCTCTAATTCCAAGCTTCTTTAAATGTTTCTCCAGGCTTTTGGGTTTCCACCAAATGACATGAAAAACTTTTAGAATGCAGCACAGGATGAAAAAAACACCAGACAAACTGAGATATTTGAAGATGAACCCTTCCATTGTCATGTTTATTTCTGCGGCCACAAACCTTTTGTTTTGATAAGTGCACTTGCTGATGAGCTCCAATTTATAGAATTTTTGTACAATGGATCCAACAACAAATGGGACACGTGTCACCCATCCCGGAATTCAATCTACTCGACCCAATAACAACGCAAAGCAAGTTTTTTCCAGCTGAAAAAAGAAGTAAAAATTACTTTTTGTTTGAATAATATTATGGATAATGTTATGCCCCTGTTTGGCACCTATTCTATTCTCATTCTCATTCTCATTTTTTTCTCTTTTTTTATTTCAACCACACATTCTTTCAATAAAATAATATTAGACACAAATCTAAAACTTTTCATTACTTTTTCACCACACATTCTCCCATCAATCACTATTCCAAAAATTTTCATTCCCATAAAATGGGTGTCAAACATAGTATATATGTACATTCACATTTTTACCTAATTTTTTACTTACATTCACAATAGGATGTGAGGACCACACATTTGAGAATTTTTTATTTATGCTGGCCGCTCTTACATGTAAGAAGGTGTAACATTTTCGATACAAAAAATTTGGTACAAATAGAATTATCCTAAAGTGTGTTTGGTAGAGATTTTTGGAGGAAAAATTGATTTTTGAATAGTGATATGATGAGAAATGTGTGGTTGAAAAATAAGAAAAAATATTGATGTGATGAAAAATATTATTTTATTGAAGAATGTGTAGTTAAAAATGAAAATTGATTTACTATAGAAAATGAGAATATGTACCAAACAGGCTCCTAATATCATATAGCACTGTTGATGTTTAGTACTAATTTACGTGGCATCATTGTTTACGTGGCATCATTGTTGTTTGTAGACTTAGATTTATTCTTTTTTTTTCAATTTTTACCTCATTTTTCTTGGTTTTTGGACGGATGCAACAGTGGGGCCTCTAAATTATTGCACGAATGTGTACCGTTTCAAGAAAATATGACTATATGAGAGACCAATTTCCAATAGGCCCAAACTACCCTTTTTTTAATGGTAAAGGAAATTAGAATGTGTAGGGTAATAATAGTTAGGTATTTTGGTAAATAGTGGAAGACAAATTGGGTAGTTTAATCCAACCCATTTTCAAGGGCTGCTTTACCCATAAATGCTCTGGCACAAATCATGAAATTTCAAACGCGTCCCGGCAAAAAGTGAAAATTAGAATTAAAAATTTGAGAAATGCTATTCATCCCTACTGAATATGCATTTCCCATTTAAATGATATGTAAAATTAAATAATTCATTTAATTTTACTTATCATTTAATCAATTATTTATATCCATATAGATTGAAGATACATCCCCACTGAGGATGAATAATATTTTTTAAAAATATTTGGAAAGAATGGGAGCCAAACGGGAGGTTAATGGCATTATTCTAAACACCTATAACTTTATTTTTTCTACTTTTAAGTGGATATGTCAAAATAAATAACTTCTCTTCTTACTTTCAGCATTGGATTCCTGATCCCAGATTGCATACATGATTCAAGATTAATAGATAGTTTCATCATGGGACCCTCGGTGTGACTAGTTAATGGAATCTTTTTCTTGTGGATCAAGGAGTCAACAATAGATAAAACCATTAGAAGTCCTACCTTGCTGCCCAAGGACATAAAAAAGCAAAAACGGAGCTGAAAACTTGCAAGCATGTGTACCCAAGCACGGGCGAATCCAGCATTGTAATTCAATTAGGACGAAGATCGTTGACTGTTAATCGATGATTGTTGACAAAATAGCTCGAAAATATAATTCGATACATATATAAATGCACTAAAAAGTAAAAAGTATATACACATGAATTATAAGTCAAACATTTTCTCCATTAATTTTTTTCACTTATCTCTAATTTCCTAAAAACCTAAATTCTTCAATCACAAATCAAAATTATAAGTAATAACTCATAATCTCATACAATAATATAACACAAATTCTCATTTCTCATAATTCATAAATCACAAATTCACAAAAACTTAAAAATAAAAATAAAAATTGAAAAACAGAATGCTTATAGGCAGTCGGTAGCCAAAAAGATTCATGGGTAGGCAGGTAGCAACTAGCAACATTGATTTCAAATTTTCAAGTGGCAAAATTTTTGAGCTAATACCTTTTGCCTTTTGGTATATAGGCAGTGAGACATATCGCAAATGAAGCTCTAGTTATGCAACTGTTGAATCACCACCGTCCATCGATCTCGTCGATCGACGGCTTCACAGATTCACAAAAACAACATGCCGCACTCGTGACTCCGCAGTGGATTCGCATTCGCCCCTGGTCATCTCTCGTCTCCTTCTTCTGCGGGACCAAAATTGGATTTGGTTTTGTTGTGGCTAATGGACTTGCAATTGCTGCAAAACCCATGGATTGAGCTCATTCATTGGCCTTATTTTTAAAAAGAAAGGCACAAACAATAGTTAATAAGAAAGTGGAAAAAAAATTTAACAGTGTCTTCTTCATATCTTTCTTCATGTTGGACAACGTGTCGGCGACGACTTACTTGAAGCTCTCAGCGGATCCAGTACGGACGGCCACGGGGGCTAGCCAGATGCTGGGTCCGCTCCTGATCCAAGAAAACCTCGTTTAGATTTTTTTTTTTTTTTAGAAAATAAACGATAATAACTTTTAAATGCTACAATATTTATTTAAATTGAAGGATTCAAGAAAAACTTTTGAATATCGATTTTACCCTTATATATTTAGTTGTAGGTCAAAAACACCCTTAAAATCTATTTATTTTATTTAATACTCCTAACATTTTTCCGAGCACTCATTTGCTATTTTATTTTAATTATGCACATTTTGCTTTGGTTAAATCATTTGTTTCAATTGCTCTGCACTATCCCATTTAATGGTTTTATCATTTATTTTTAATTCTGCACATTTTGCTTTGGTTCAAATGCAAGAGAAATCCAAGGGAATCATTTTTAAAAATAATACTATTTAGCATCAATTTAGGTGACGTTAAGTGATAACTCAATGAAATGCAGAATTAAGTGATTCATTTAATTGTACTTCTTATTTAACTCCTGATTAGTGTTATCTAGATTGGTGTTTTAACAGCATGATGTTAAATAGCATTGCTTTATTTTTAATAGTTTTTTATAATTTATTTTATTTTAATGGCTTTATTTCCTCTACCCTACCGTCTTCTCTCTCGCTCTCACTATCTCTTCTTCCCAATAAATTATTTTGATAAAATAAATCGAGATAACTATCAAGGGAACTGTGTGTTTCTGTTTTTTAAATTGTAAAGAGAATAAAATTTAGAACTAACTTTTTATTTTAAGTTTTTACCAATTATTTATGATTTTTTATCATCATCTCCTTTTGGTTTTCATAGGATTATTAGGAGAGAGTTGCATATCTCCAATGATACAGAATCTAATCAAGTCGAATCGAATTAAAATGAATCAAATATGTTTACTTGGATTTTAAGCAAACCAAAGCAAGAGATAAATGTGTGCATACTTTGCTTTTTTAATTTGATTCAACATATTTATATTCAAGCAAATTAGATAAGAATTTTCTTACGTCGAAGTAAGAATTTTATAATGTATTTTGAAATTGCCATTTGCAATGAGGCAGAAAGGGTAAGAAATCAATTTTAGAGATTTAAGTATTCAAGTTGTTTGTAGAAGTGGTAGTTTTTTATCCACAAGGTATGTTCTTTTTTGTAATTCCATTTCTTATTTGGTTTTCCATTCCTTAGAAAACGCACCTTAGATTTTAGTGGATTCCAATTTTTTATTAAACAAATTACATACTCTTTAAGTTTATTTTCTTTCTTCTTATCTACTTGTCAAAGAAAATTCATTTCTCTTTCTGCATTTGAATTTTGGAATTACTATGCCTCAAAATTACTACTGTTCTCTGAATTTTATAGTTATGTCCATATCGAGTCAAAACTCTTTTTCATAACGTAAAACAAGTAACTATACAAGTCATTAACATAAAGTAAGCAATAATGTCAATTATAAAAACTTAAATAGTTAAAATTTAAAAGTTTCACGTCTCCTTTCACCAATAAGAAAATGTCAAGAAATAATTGGAACCAAAGGTGCACGAAACATAAAAAGATTAAAATAGTTAAATTTCACCTTCGTCATTTTCATCTAGATGCCTTAATCTTTGATAACTTCCACAATCACTTGAATCACCAAAACGACGAAGAACGTCCAATACATCCAAATCACCCATATTTTGAGTATTAAGCTCGTCATTATTTCCATTGTCATCTAAAACACAAAAATAAGAAACATGGGGAAGCATGTGAAAACATGGTAGGACTTGATAGCCCAAAAATAACTAACCAAGTGAGGGGTGAATTGGTCTTTAAAACTTTTTTGAAAAATTAATCTAAATTCAAATAAGTAAAAACTAAATAGATTAGTTCAAATAATAAGTGCAAATATGAAAGCAATAATTAAAAGGGAAGAAATGATGCAAACAATATAATGGTGGAGTTTCGATCTAAAGCAATGATTTACACCCTCCATTATTAAACTCTCAGCACAAGCAATGCGTTTTCACTATATCGATTGACTTATGGTGCAATTCAATCCTTTACAATGCTTTCGATAACTTACAAATAAGGAGCACCGATCTTTATACAATATTGAGTTTTAAGAGATCCCAATATGACCTACACCATTGAGTTTTACGGGATTTCAATATGACTCACACGGGTACTTACAATAAGTAGTATCGATCCTTATACTATTGAGATTTCAAGGGACCTTAATACGATCCACAAGTTTACAACAATAATTTTACAACGAAATTTCTTTCTTAATAAATGATACAAATGAATTAAGTATTAAGAGATACAAACACTTCAATGAATAACAATAAATGATAGCTCAAGTGTTAGATAAAAAATTTTGACGAATATGATAATTAACAATTTGATTCAATCAATCAAAATTTTTAAATGAGAAGATGAAAAAAAAAAAGTATAATGTAAGTCCAAAATTTT